GGGGGGGGGGGGGGGCAGCTGCCCTCCCCTGCTCCCCCTGGGTACGCCCATGCACTAATAATAATTTAATAAGTATAACAAAAAATATACCAAATGAAAATTTGTAATTAAGATTGTATTGATGTATTGGGATAGGTCGTTTGTCCTAACTTGTATTATTTATTGATTACTGTTCTAAATTATATTTTATTCGGATACAGGTGGTTGTTGAGTTTAGTTTTCCTCGTGAACAAGAATCCATCAGTCCGGCAGAACTGTTACAATTTCTTTGTTAACGATAACTTATTAGCAGGATTTTGTCACCTTACAGGTTTTTAGTGTTTATAAGTAAACATTATAAGCTCGTTTCAACGGTTTCAACTCAACCCTCTCGTTAAAAATCCACCAACCAAGAATTAAAATTTCATTGCTTTAGTGTTAAAACGACTTTTTGAACGGGACTTAATGTGGTTTGGAACGTTGGTGAGGGTGGTATTTAATGGTACATCTTTGGTAAAATCCTTTTCTAGTAGAGAGTGAATGGTTAGACGCGATTTCTTACTTGGGAAGAACACTGTGCTTTCGTCTTTCGGTAAAAAATATGTTATTGAGGTAAATTAGATAGAAACTTCGAACTGTAAAAATTAGTGTATAACATAAAAAATGCAAAAAATAAAAATTTTCAAATATCAACGTTCTTTATAGGATGTAATTCATCTCATTTGTTTTCGTGGCGCCACCTTGGACATGTAAATTGTACCTACATCAGAAAATATTAAAACTGTACATTAAGACAATGATAATGAATTATTAATTTCGCCTTGAATACTTATTATCTCGTTAATGGATACCATTAATGGTACCATAAGCACCAATTAGGGAAAGATTCGCAAATTCGCATTTCTCATACAGAAAAAACTCTTGTTAATGCCTCTATTTTAAATAATTTTGAAATTTTATATTTTGTTTTTCGATTTGGTGGTCGCGATCTCTTAAAAATATAGGGGTTACTTTTGGTCAGAAAATTAACCAGTTATGTAAAGAAAAAACCCTTTAGTAATTAATTTAATTATTGAATTTTATGCAAGTTTTACGAAACTGACTTATATGGTATTATATCTTTAGCTTCATCATCATCATAAGGTCATCAGTCCTAAGACTGGTTGGACACGTACCTCCACTCTTTCCTATCCTGAGCCAAACTTCGCATTTCCCTAAAACTAGAACAGCCCACATCCTTAACTATTTGCGAAGAGTAATCTAATCTAGGTCTACCTCTACCCCTCCTAACTCCTGTTTCTGTCTCTAATATGTCTCTGACTAGACTTTCATGCCTAAGGTGTCCTACCAACCTATCTCGCCTATTTTTTATTGACTTCCACAGAGTCCTCTGTTCTCCTATTCTTTCTAATACCTCTTCATTTCTAACCTTTTCTACCCACGATATCCTCTTCATCCGCCTATAACACCACATTTCGAACGCTTCTAACCTTTTTTTTTCCGCCGCTCCCACTGTCCATGTTTCGCACCCGTACAACGCCGTGCTCCAAACATACACCTTTAACAACCTTTTTCGAATTTCTAATTTAACCGTTCGCGAGCATAGAAGTGACTTCTTTTTATTAAAGGCGACACGACCCTGCGCTATCCTCTGCTTTATATCCCTACTACTCCTTTCATCCTCACTTATCTGACTTCCTAGGTACCTAAAATCAGCCACTTCTTCTAATTTTTCGTCTCCTATCTTTATATTCGCTCTTTCCCTACTTTTTCTTCCCTTGCATATCAGTATTTTAGTTTTACTTTTATTTATTTTCATACAGTACTGATCTTTAGCTTATTATAAGATAATTACCGGTAGGCCAGTATTTATTCTTAGCATACACTTATTTGTTTTTAAATGGTTAGTGTTAATGGTAATGTTAAGGAAATAAAAAGCAGATAGATACGGGATTACACATAAATTTTTTATTTTTTAAAACTGTACTATTGTTATGACTTTAAGTATGGGTATTACATATAAGTAAAGTGATAACAGTATTTTTATGCAGGTATGGAGTTACTGCAATTGCAAATTACATTTTTTATCACCATAAACGCATTTTTGAAGCATTTCAATATTCTTTGTAACGGATATATTATGGGTGATAGTATGGCTGATAGCGTGTGTCTTATAAACGGTCTGTAAAGTAAAATTGGCATTAAAATTATTATACATAGAAATCTGCATAGCTAAATATGATAACAAATGATACTTTAATAAACAATTAAGTAGTAAAATGTATTACAATGAAAGAATGAAGTGGAAAAGTGTTCTAATTGATAAGGTAATTTAAAAAACGTGTCCAAAAAAGTATTTCCACAAAAACAATGTTAAAATTTAAGAAAAGAAACTGCATGGGTAACAATTATTCAAAAATATTTTTCGGAAAGAGTGAAATTAATTTCTATTTAGTAATTCAAAATTCAAAAGATTTTTATCAATATTTGTTTTGATTAACAACCACAACTCCAAATGCATACTGTAAACTATGTTTGCATATTTAAAACTATGTTCAAATACCAAAAATTGTACTGTGGAAACGTCATTTTGTCAAGTCCATTCAAAAAATGTACAGGTAGTAATAATTTGAACAAAAAGGGTGCAATTCGTTTTTGGGTACCGATTTTAAAAAACTTTCAAAGTGTTTATGAGCTTCCTTTGTTATGGTGGTAGCTGCTACTTAAAAAGCTAATGGTCGTAGTCAAAATTGAAAAAATGGATTCTTTGAATTTATTTTTATTCTATTATTTCTATCGGGCGTTCCACAACACCACACAGCTTGTTTTTGACCCGCGAAAGTGTATGTCGAATTTTTCATGATGCAGTACAAAATATTTTTAATTCCTAATTGCATGTTGTGCTTGCTTATTTACCTAAGGAAATCTGTTGGATCACTTTGTTTGTCTCCATCCTTAAACCAATTGAAAAAGGTTCTTCCAAAAACTTCCAAGTTACCATTACTACCATCTTCGAGATTATCAGTGCCTCTGGTTGCATTTGGTTTTATCCATGGAAATACATTTTCTTTCGAAAAACTGTCGAACCTGGGCTGGGGCGAGTCATTTTCATCTGCATATCATTTAAATGTTACATAATTATTTACTAACGAAAATTTTTTAAACAAAATTGAGAAGTACGTTAAAATTTGTTTTAACATTATCAATATTAATTTGAAATCATTTTTTCGATTTAAATTTTACCCACTACAAACTACCTCAAATTAATGAGGGAAAAATTGTTGCTGTTGTCACACCCCCACCGGGAATCGAACCCGGGACCTTTGGCTTTACGCACCAATGTTCTACCACTAAACTATGAGAAGTGACAACAGCAACCACGACTACAATAGCAACAATTTTTCCCTCATTAATTTGAGGTAGTTTGTAGTCGGTAAAATTTAAATCGAAAAAATGATTTCAAATTAATATTGCATATTAATCCACTATTAGTAACTAACAATGTCATAGAATTTCATATATTTAACATTATCATTAGATATTTTTTTGGTCGAAACTTACACGGACATTCATATTTCTTTTCGTCTTCGCATACACCTCTTTCTGGATTAAAATTATAACCATTTAAACACGAAAGACCAACTTTACCACCTAACGGTGAACAAATGTAAAATTTTTTGCAGTCTCCCTCGAACGGTAAAGTTGTCGTCGTTTTGATATATTTCGGGCATTCTTATTAATAAAAAGATTATATTTAATTACTAACTTACAATAATTAGTAGAACCGCATAATATTAATAAAATTTACTTAGGTGATAAGTTTCACTTACGTGGTTCTCCTCTTGCAATAATTACAACAAAAGTTACAAAAAATAGTGGAATGAATACAGATTCTAAAACAAAAATAAAAAAGATATTTAGATAATCTTACGAGAAATCTTTAGACCATCACGCACTTATCATGATTTCAATAGCATTTATGTAAATCTGAGAAAATTACGACTGCTTATCGTCCAGCGACTTTTGAGAATAATACGAAACTTGAAACAATTTTTCAATTTATTTAACAATCCTACATAGAATATTAAAAATACATGACAATAGTAGCAACAATAGTAATAGCTAATTGGCATGAAAACTTCAATTGATGATCAAAGTAACAAATGGTATTTCAAAATTTATAATGCGAACATTGAATTTTAGTTCGTCATCTCAGATTAATCCGTAAAAATAAGTATTATCTATTTATTATCATTTAATAATACGCATGATGGACCTAATTTTGAAAAAAAGTGTATCTATATATTCCTTAAATCCTATCAAGAATAATTATAAACGGGCATTGTTTTTAATTAGCAATTTCACAATTACAGGAAATTGCAGATTTGAAGCATGAGCTTCAACAAAAGGATGAAGAAATAGAATTATTAGAAACGAAAATCAAATCTTCGAAATTACAATACCACACATACAAAGACGATGCATCTGCTTTTCAATGTTCACTATGTTGTAAAGTATTTGCTACCAGGGAATTTTTAGAAGCACATAATAAACGTAGACATCAAGAATTAAATTCAACTTCCGCCTTTCAACAAGAAACCGATAAACTGCAAACAGAAATAAAACAATTGAAAGAAAGACTTAACACCACCGAAAAGCTTGTACATAAAAATGATTATCCAAAGAGAGAATTACTTTCGCCAAATGAAATCAGTATAAACGATGACAAGAAACTAATTAATGAGTTACAGCAAAAATTTGAACTTCTTAAAGTTTATGTTGAAGGCGAATTAAAGACTTTGCAGTTTCAATCATCAGATCAGTCTAAATACGAAAAGTGGTTCGAAGTATTCTTGCAAAGACTGGAATCTTTAATGCAAAAATCCTATACAGCTAGTACTGAAACTGATAAAACGTTTCAAAATCAATTAGAAACCAATAAAGTTGATGCGCCAATCAGAAAGACCGATAGTTCTGTACAAACAGAAGAAAATTTTGTAATTAGGAACGTTTGCGAGAGATGCGAAGCTAGAAATAAAGAAAAAAGCGATTTCAGTAGAAATCAAACCCAAATAGTTGGTAAGATGTTAACTGATTTGAAAGTAACTACAGAAAGTCAATTGAATTCGTTAGAATTTGCACTGACGGAAAAGGTGACTCTTGCATCAAAACATTTTTTATTACTCATTACTAAAAACTGTTTCGTATTTGTAGGTGAACAATAGTTTGGAAAAACTTGACCGACAGATTAGAGATTTAAATAAAAAAGTAGACGAAATGATAGCAAAATCCCACGCGAAAGTGGATAACATAATCCCAAAAAGTTCAAATGATTATAATCATTATAGTGTAGTACCTGTACCCAAAAAAAGGCAATTTATTTCTGGCAATAAAGTAAATAAAACAGTAGAGCAAAAGACAAAAGAGCCTAATAAACTTGATGCAAGTATTCATGCAAATAAAATGGTTTCATCAAAACCTGAGAATAGTGTAATTCCACAAAAATGTAGCAACGGGTTCGATCAAAGGGAACATCAAAATAAAATGCGAAACATTGTTCCCAAGGAGAATGAAAACAAAAGAGATAGGATTACAACAAAAGGCACATTAAAAAAGAAATCATCTTCAGAATTAGTTGAAAAATCAAGTAGTACTAGTGTACAACTTTTATTCAGAAAAAATCCTGGAACTACTAACACCTACTCTACCGATGAAGAGAACTCAACTTCAAGCGAAAATAACGAAGCTGTCATTAAAAATGATCACGTAAAAATAAGACCGTCGACTTCTACATTGGGTAAAAGATCAATTACAAGGTATAATTAGATTAGTTTATTATATTGACCAACAAATATGTGCATTTATCGATTTATAACAGTTTGAAGGCAGCTGCTTTAGATAAAGAAGTTTTACAAGGATTAAAGAAGGAGGTACAAAATATATTTGATAAGCGGTTGGTAGCGATAGGAATTTCTCCATCAACAAAAGGAATATCGCATTCAGTTTATGAAAAAGCACTTGCAGCAATTCATAGGGAAAGAGCTGAAATGGCTGAAGTTAGTTAAATTATTAATTTAAAGGAGAGGGGCATTCAAGTATTACGTAGGAAGACATAAGGGGTTCGGATGTTCAATTATTTATTATTTTTCTTACAGATATTATGTAAGCTAAGAATTATAAAACAATTAATAATTTCAAATCATTTATACTAATTTGGAATATTTCTGATTATTTTCGGAAGCTTCCCGTAAGTTCCTGTTTTATCATACTTGTGCATTGTGTTATTTGTTTCTCACTCGTTCATATAAAGGGGGGTCTCAACACTAGCAGGATTTTGCTTACGCAATGCTTGAATGCTCTGATTTTTGTGTCTTATCTATCATTAAAACTATTTTTTAGAAGTATCCACAATATGAGAAAATTACTGGTGGTATAATAATGAATTTGGAAGATCGAATGAAATCGAGTAGTAAAGAAAATAAATCGAATGATATTCTTAATAAAAATGCCACAAAGACAGAACCTCCTAGAGAAATAGTAAAGAAATTTTCGCAGAAGTCAAAAGGTGGAAGTAAAAACGGTACCAAATTTTGTTAAAATTCTGAATAAAAATTATTTGAAAGTAAAGTGTTTCTGTTTGGGTCTGTAGGCTGTCGTATTTAACAGATTTTGTTGTTCCTTGACGTTTTCCAAAAGCACATAGTTACCAGTAATGATTTTCGTTCAAAGGAACAACTGACTACCTGATAACCTACTGACTGTGCAGATTAGTAAAACGTTGAGGATCAACATTCATTCAAGACGACGAAAATGGCCTGAAAACCTGAACAGAAATACTATCACCATCTTTAATATTATTTATTTATTTATTTATATAGTTTTAGTAACGGCATCCCGACAACCAAAGACCCCAAAAACGTCATCGTCCGTAAGTTCTTCGGAAGAAGAAGAAGAGAAAATAGTAACAGAAGATATTATTAAACGTTTAACGAAACCAAACAAAAACCTTCAGAAATCTTATCAAACTTACAGCGACGTTGTGAAGCAAATAAACGAGAAGATGCAAAAGAGAGAGTTGGAAAAAAATAACGTGCATCTTCTTCAAGATGGTGTTATCGATCTCCAAGATACTCCTAACATGAACAGAAATAATAGCAGTTCTGACACAACTGATAAAAAGTCAACGAACTCACTATCAAATTCAGAAAATCCACCAAAGAAAGAAGGAAAAAAGGAAGTCAAGGAAAGTGAAGATAAATATGCCAAAATGGATGTAATATCAATTGAGTCGTTTACAGAAGAGATTGTCGAAGATCGTAAAGAAGAAGATAACTTATCGGCTGAAGAAGTAAATAGAAATCTAGCACAAGAAAAAATTCAACTGCAGCCCAAAAGTGCTCTAAAAAATTTACCAACAAAGCTTCTTCCGATGAAGAAGAAGGTGTTTTTTGATTTAAAATCGTTGGCTAATGTTGAACAGAAGGAAGATCCAGGTGGAGGTGGTGATACGACAAGTGCAACCAGTTCCATTTTTGATGAAATTGAGAGCCTAAAGGAAGTCAAGAAGACGGCGACTAAAGAAAAGGATAGCGATTTTTCGGATTTTAACTTTAGCGATATACTTTAATTTTTTGTAAAATAAAGTTTACTATTTACTATTTGGTAATAAACGATATAATTTTGATATGTCTAATAATGTACTACGTTTTTCGTATTTTTGGTGTTTTTTATATTTTTTAAATAGAAATGGTAAGTACGTGGAAGAGGAAATATCTTTTGAGACATCGTGTGGACTCCCGGGTCGCACCTGGACTACATTGTTTTTTTTAATTTCAATAGCTAGATCACTTTAGAACCCTGTTGCTGTTATAATGGAACCTTTCACTTTTTTAGTGACGTATTGTATGTCTTAAAATTGTCAATGTTTAATGATAAAACAAAATTATGATGATGGGTACAGATTGAAACGTTCGCAACATCACTTCTTCCTATTTTCTGTCACATGAATTAAAGCAACATTTTCGTTTACAAACAAACTTTTTCGTTACACAGAGTTAATAATATTATTTTGCTTATTTCTCTAACTTTAATCTGCCCAAAAATCTCTTAAAAATTATCTAATCGCATGAAGAGAAACTGCATTAAAAAAGTTTTTTCGCTGTGTGAAGGTAGCTGTACATATCAATACGTATTGTTATGATTAGTTATGATGTATACATATACATATACGTTATGATAACAATCCGGCTTATAGGTTTAATAAAGTGACGATCGGTAGTTTATACGGGTATTAATTAAGCTTTGTTTTGTTGCTATTTAGAAATATTATTTCGATTATCCAGATGTATCGTAAAACTCAATGTGCAATTTTTAACAGTATTAAAAAAACAAGTAAACAACAGTTTTTACGAAATTATTCCAATTATTCCGGTGAAATTAATGTTGGAGAAGAGGTTATGCTTGCTATAAACAGTAGAAAACCTGTTGTAGCTCTCGAATCTACCATAATAACCCATGGAATGCCATTTCCTGATAATGCAAAATGTGCATTAGAAGTAGAAAGAATTGTTAGAGCTCAGGTGAGTGGTACATGTAATACGTTCTGCTAGTAGTTACGTTGTTTTCTGGTTGCGTTTCGACTTATCTTACTGATTGTGAGTAATGTACTTACCTGGTTGCATAACTGTGAATCCACAAATCATCAATAATACAGATTAGTAGTATATTTGTTGAGATAATAACACTGTTTACTTAAAAACTTTTTATAGCGTTTCTAATAATAAATATGTTGATAGGAACTTAACTGAAAAGTAATGGTAATAAAAACTTTCTAACAAAAACATTAAACCGCCCAAAAAACTGAAAAGCAAAAAATAATAAACCTTTATTTTATTAACCTTAATAACGAAGTTCTTCAACTAATGTAAGTATACCTAACTAATTTTGAGTCGGCTCTAAACAATCAATAAACAAAGATCACTAAATTACCTTAAATTTAAAGAAATAAACATTTCATTGTTAACTTTAATTGGTTATTTCTTTAAATTTAAGGTATTTTAGAGATCTTTGTTTATTGATTGTTTAGCGCTGATTCAAAATTACTTAGGTATACTTACATTACTTGACGAACTCTGTTATTAGGGTTAATAAAATAAAGGTTTATTAGTTTTTTCGGCGGTTTAATTTTTTTATTTTATATTTTTTTGTGGCCATAATCTACTTACTATTTACTACTGCTGCTACTACTATTATTTTCCTACTATAAATCATCCCCTGTTTTCCTACCCCTAGGGTTAGATTTTTTTCCCAAGTTTATATGGGACCAACTTCGGGGGGTATACCCTTTCCAATTAAAAAAGAATTATCAAAATCGGACTATTCTGTCAAAAGTTATGCGTGGTTCATACATTTCAATAAGTGAGTGAATAACAATCAACAACCATCCTCTGTTTTCCTACCCTTAGGTTTGGAATTTTTTTCCAAATGTATATGGGATTAACTTTGGGGTATACCCTTTCCAATAAAAAAAGAATGATCAAAATTGGACTACTCTGTAAAAAGTTATGCAAGGTTATTCATAAAAAAATATATATACGCGTGTATTGGCGTTTGAATACTTTGTACCTATATGGAAATACTTAGAGGGATTAAAGGTTTATTTATCCGACTGTTACCTGCAATCAATGGTGATACAGATACTGCAGGTGATTTTCATGATTCGTAATTGGCTCTTGGGAATGAAAAGGGCGCTTTATCAAATGGGCACTATCCGCCATGTTGTCACCATAATATCAGATATTTCAGAGAATGATACTAAAGATACAGATTCGTCAGGAGTTGAGGCTGGCAACTTAATTCCAAAAAATTTCTTTTTTAAATCATCTGTTCAAAAAAGATATTTGCAGACTTTGTGACCATAAATATCTGACAGACAATACTCTTATTTAAAAATTCGAAACAAAAAGTAATAAGGACCCGTTTTCAAGACGAAAAGTCGGTCACACGCTTGGTTGAGGAAGATTAAAATAAAGGATCCGAGACAGTAACACAGACTGTCGTAGGTTTATAAGAGTTTTAAGAAGGATTTTGATACATTTCTGTGTTCGGAACATAATGGCTTAGTTTTTGAGTTTACGGGTTGTAATAATTAAATTAAATTACGATTTTACTTCAGAATAAAGAATGAGAAAAGTCTGTTAATAAATCATTATTATCTAACAGCACAATTTTTATGTGCTATTTATATTTGACAAAACATGTTGTTAGTAAAATGATGTAAAATCCCATATTAACCTTTTGCACACTGCACACAAGCGACTTGTAATACCAACGAGACGACGCTGGGTTTGACGATTTCGTTTTATAAAATTTAAATTATTTTTTACTAGCTTTTCCCCGCGGGTTCGCTCGCAGAAATTAGTATTGTTTCTCCATAAAACCTTTTAGCTCCCAATTCACCCTTAGAACGTTTTAATTTTATGTAATGTCGCCATCTTAAATTTCAAATACAAACGTAGCAACAACATTTCGTCGTTAAGGGTTGATTTTTAAAAATTGCCAAAACACATATTTGCTTAATTTCAACAATGAGCAACCTTCGAGTAAATCCGAGTACAAGTAAAATATACCCCATGGAAACGTTGCAACCTCTTTTTATTTGATTAATAATATATCAAGTACTTAATTCAACCACAAATAAAGTATGTCCCAAACAAAAATTGCAACACCTTTTTACCCTCCCCCCCTTTGGAGGTTGAATTTTTTAAAATGTCGACATAGGTCTTTCAGAAATTAAATGAGAGACCATTAAGACCAAGTTTAAAGTAAATCTCCATTCCTTTCCCCCACGGGAACGGGATAAAAAGTATCCTATGTCCGTCTCCTGGTAGTAATTTCAGCCAAATCGGTTCAGCCGTTCTTAAGTTATAAATAGTGTAACTAACACGACATTCTTTTATATATATAGATTTACTATCATTAGGTACATTTCTTCCATAAAATTGTCTGTTGCTTTTTATATTGATATAATTTATGTTATCAAACAGATAAAGCATACAATTTAGTAATAGTTTCTTACAAAGCTGTTACATTAATAAAGTAATTGAAAAAAAAAAAAAAAAATTGTAGGGCGCCGTACCAGCGACGATAGGTATTCTTGGCGGTAAAGTAAAAGTTGGTTTAAGTGAAAAGGAAATTGAACGATTAGCTGAATCAAAAAATGCCGTTAAAGTGTCGAGGAGGGACTTTGGACATGCAATTAGTAATAAAAAAGATGGCGGCACAACTGTCGCGGGAACATTAATTGTCGCAGAAAAGGTCAACATTCCCATATTTGCAACTGGAGGTAATTACAATGTTAACTGTATGAATGTGATTGTTTCTTTAAAATTATGCATTTTAAAGTACCTTGTGCGTACGTCACAATTTAGTAATTATTATTAGTTCACCAAAGAACTTCATATAAAACAAAAGACCAAACCTATGGAAAAATCCAATTTAAGATTTTCCGGTGGGATTGTCTTTATTCTGCCCTTACAAGTAATTTCGCAAATAAAGAAATTGTCTCAAACATCTCGCAAATTATCGATAATTTTGGTCTGTGAGAAGAATACGCATAAAAAAGATCCTATACAAAATCTATGTAGAAACAATAGTTTTCGAGATATAGGGCTGAGAATAGTCGAGCATTGCTGCACTCATTTTCCCATTAAATAAGATAAAATGTAGGGAATGTCATAATTTTGTTAATTATTGTTCGTGTTTGCTGACTTTTTCTTCTTCGAGTCTGTTTATCTCTAATACCTATTTTCAGTTCTTCAATATTTGTATTGTCATTAATTTTTCTCTAATGTGACAACGAATGTACTGCAAAGTTCGAGTTTTTTCAAATCTATATCTTGAAAACTACGTTGGTTCCAAATTTTATACATTACCTTTTTTTGCATATTTGTTGCATAAACAATTGTTATTTTAGGTTTTCTGACGATAAAAATGCACTTTGAGAATAATTGTGTTTCGTAACTTTCGACCGTTTTTTATTTCTGTAGCCGTCGAGTTAGGTTTAGACAAATTATTTGCAAGGCCAAAATAAAAATAATCTCCTTGGAAAATCTTCTTCTTGGGCTGGGTTACATAACAAAAATAGTAACAAATTTAGGTTGGTGTACCTTTTTAAATTTATTTTTTAAGTGTGAAGTTAAGGTATACGATATTAAAGAAACGTGGTCATTTTTTAATAGAACAGGATCAAAAAAGAGCAATTAAGATCCTATGTGAATATTGTTGGACGTTTCGATAATATTTTCTGATCTCCTCAGGAACTTCCTGATTTGCTTGATCTGTTATTGTGGTTCTGTCTGAAGGAATCTACTGATAAGTTGTTCAAAGTCAAAGTGTATTGACGAAATGTCCAATATTATTCACAAGGATGCGTAATTTAATTCTATTCTTATCTTAGAATTATCGCACTAGTAGCTACGGAAATGAATATAGAAGTTACATAGGGTTGCCATCTGTAAAAGCAACAAACCAGGGCAATAAACTTAAAAAACCCCGGGATTTTTGAGCTTAAAACCAGAACATTTGATACCATACTTTTTTTTAAAGTGATTTAATTGCGAACATACAATAATATATAGTAAAAAGAAGATGTGGTATAAATTTTATAAAAATCGATTGAGTAGTTACTGAGATATAACCTCTACTAGTTCAAAAACGTGTATCAGATGAAATGAACAAGACTAACACTTATACGCAAGACCAGGACTAAGACCGATTAAGCAAGACCACGTGTCTTTAGTATATCTCAAATAAAAGGTTAATTAATTCATGAAAGTTATGTTGTTTATCTGTAAAAATGTAAAATATTCTTTTTTGGATTTATTCAGGTATACCTTTGTTTTATTTATTATCTGTTGACCTAATAAATAAAAAATAAAATAGGCACAGAAACAAATAGAAATATACATTATGTTTCATAATCCGTAGAGAGTAGGATGTTAAGAATGTTTTCTTTTATTTCTTAGTAGCCTTTTTTTATAAAATTACCTCATTTTTTTAAATTTCTTATGTATTTTGAATTTCATAGAAAAAAAGAAAAGATTAAAACGAACAAAAAGTAGTAATCGTTGACATAAGTTGTTACGTAATTTTATTGTTACAAAATTAGGTATTGGTGGCGTTCATAGGGAAGCTGAAGCAACTTTTGATATTTCGGCTGATTTAGTAGAACTTGGACGTAATCCTACAGCAGTTATCTCCAGTGGCGTTAAATCGATTCTAGATATCCCTAAAACCCTGGAATACTTGGTAAGATTTTAATCCTTTTATTATTTAGAATAGATACTGTACAGATAAGACAAAATGTTATCGGTATTTTTTCTTTTTATGTTGTTAGAACATGTTGAATATATTTTTTCAATCATGTCTCGCTGAAAATATCTTCTGTTTTTTTTAAAACAGTTCTACATTAATAGAACTATCAAAATCCTTAGAACAAAGCGTAAAAACGAAAGATGGCTAAAGGTATTTGTACGAATTTTTCTGTACCACGTATTTTTCAAAACTTAAACTAGAATGCTCTTTGTTCCCCTGATATACGAGGGATGTTTCCAAAGTTCTGGGAATTTATCTATAATTTTTATTATTTTGTTACTTTTCGTCAATATTATAATGTAGTTTTTCAACATAATCTCCGTTTAACTGAATACATTTATCCTAACGAAAAACTAATTTTTTTTTTAAGCCGCCCTCAAAGAATTTTTTCGGTGTGTAATTAGATCGCAAAAATTCATAAATATTTAGTCCTTTTGGGCATTTCTGCAGTAACTATACACTAGCCGCTCATGATCGATCTCATTCTTTCCAATTAAGTTCATTTGCTGGTGCCTACTACCTACAATATAATCCAGCACTGAGAATGTTTCTATTTTGTTTATATATGTAATTGTAGTCAATAAATACTTGAAATTCTTTTTTTAATAATTACGTTTGCGGTTTAAACATGCTTCCTGACGCGGAATTTTTGTTTGGGATGTCATAGGAAACGCAAGGTGTCCTAGTTACTTCCTTCGGTAATTCAACACAGTTTCCCGCTTTTTATAGTAGACTTAGCGGGTGCAGTTCGCCCTACAGTGTTAAGGACGCAGTGGAAGCTGCAAATTTACTTAAATCTCATCTGGACATGAACCTGGGATCAGGCTTGTTAATAGCAGTCCCTATTCCTGAGGAGTATGCTATAAACGAGGAGGAAATTGAAACTGCTATAAAAGCTGCTTTAAATGATGCCTCTGAAAAAGGTATAAAAGGCAAATTGATCACACCGTTCCTCTTGGAACGAATTGCAGTTATAACGAGGGGACGATCGTTAATTGCGAGTATCCTTTTTGAATGACGAAATTAGATTGCAGTAGACTCTCCATAGTGTGAACGTTGCATAACGGAAACCCCCCATAATGTGTACAGTATATTTATTACTAGTGACCCGCCCCAGCTTCCCACGGGTGCAATGCTGATACTAAATATATTTTTGTTTTGTTTAGATTATTATCGAAAAAGGGAAATCTTCAAAAGATACCCCCTGAACATACTAAATATACTACAGAATGTCTTTATATACAACATTCACAGTTTTTTTGTCATTAGACAATACAAACCGGCCTCCCGGCCGGTACCGCCGCAACCGCTATGTCCCTGCATTTTAAATCTGTAATATCTTCGAAAATATTCATTTAAATTACATGCTGTAAAGGGCCATATTGATCTATATTAAATGCACAATGTATTTAAGGTACTTAATTGGATAAGAATTAATGCTGTATTGCCTACAATCGCTTCGTAAATAAGTCATTATTTCTCATAAAAAGTAAAGGATAAAAATGGTTATTGTGGGTTATTCCTAAGAGATAGACATATACCATCCCGGACTTTTTTGTAGACCCTTTTAAGATGTACAAAATTGTAGTACACTATTTTGATCTATCTCGTAGGGTTCAGCCAGCGTTTGCAATGTAAGCGCAGAAAAAAACCGCATCAAAGTTAGATCGTCTTATGACACACGAATAATGTCGCAGCCACTGTATTCCCCAGATCTGGCTCCTTATAACCTTTTCTTGTATCTGAAACTGAAAGGGAAGTGTATAATATCTGGTGGAGATTACTTTCAAGGGGACAAAATGAATAAATAAATAATTTTTGAAAAAACATGATTCGCGATAGTTTTCTAACAGACCTCGTATGTATTTGGTATCTACTTTCCCTGTCGTGTTAGCTGGGCATGTTGTTTTATTCGTACATTCATTTTGTGAGAAATTTCTTGTGATTCAAGAATTAAATAATGGCAAAATGTTAAGTATTTAACAAAAAATTACGGTGTCGAAAATTTTACAAGTAATTACATAAAACAAATAAGCGACAAAACTCTAAAGTTTTGAGAGATAACTTAGATAAAGTATGTCTAACTATGTAAAAGAAAAACTCCGTAGTTTGATTTTCTTATTTAATGAAATAATAATTTTAATGTGAATGGCGAAATCATTAATTAAGCATAAGGCGAAACTAATTCATCCACAAATAAGATAAAATGATCAATAATTTACTACCAGTGAGCGATGGCTAATATTACACTTAAAAAACAATTTATTTTATCAATTATTGAGTTTTATTACATACGAGGGTGGATTGATAAGTTTCCGGCCTAACCAAGAGATGACGCCACTAGGCCTACCTTGAGGTGACATTCTATAGTACCATCCTTGGATAGCTTGTAGCTATAGTTTCAGCCCGATCTCCTTGCTAGTGTAGGTTTGACAGCACGCTGAACAAGACGCCTCTGTGGTTTTCGTAAAAATGGAAAAGCAGGAAAATCGTGCTGTCATCAAATACTTTTATTTGAAGGGGTTAACGCCGAAGGAAATTAAAAAAGAGATGGACTCAACACTGGGGACATCCTCCCCGTCATATTCAACCGTTAAGCAGTGGGTTTCCGAGTTTAAAAAGGGTCGTGTGAGCACCTCTGATGGGCCTCGCTCAGGACGCCCCGTTGAGGTCACAACTCCAGATATGATCGAAAAAATTCATCAAATAGTGCTGGGAGACCGCAGATTGAAAGTGCGTGAGATAGCTGAGACCTGTAAGATGTCATATGAACGTGTGCAACATATTTTGCACCAACATTTGCATATGGAAAAGCTCTGTGCAAGATGGGTGCCGCGTTTGCTAACAGTCGACCAAAAATTGATTCGAAAAAACATTTCTACCGCAAATTTGTCATTGTATAAGCGTAATCCAAGCGAATTTTTGCGTCGATTCGTAACCGTTGACGAAACGTGGGTCCACCACTACACTCCTGAAACCAAAGAACAGTCTAAACAGTGGATTGGACCAGGGGAACCAACTCCAAAGAAGGCAAAAACAATTTTTTCGGCGAACAAGGTTATGGCTACTGTTTTTTGGGATGCAAGAGGTATTATATACATTGATTACCTTGCAAAGGGTAATACTATCACTGGTCAATACTACGCAGACTTATTGCAACGTTTGAGCCACGAGGTGAAAATTAAACGACCTCATCTGGCGAAGAAAAAAATCTTGTTTCATCACGATAACGCACCAGCGCACACGTCAATCGTTGCGACGGCTAAAATCAACGATCTAAAGTTTGAATTGATGCCGCACCCTCCTTACTCTCCAGACCTAGCCCCGAGTGACTATTTTCTGTTCCCTAATCTCAAAAAATGGCTTGGCGGTAAGAGATTTGCGGACAATGAAGAAGTAATCGAAGCTGTAAATGGTTATTTTGAGGAGCTTGACGAATCAGTCTATAGAGATGGCATTAATAGACTGGAACACCGCTATGAGAAATGTATCAGCCTTGGAGGAGATTATGTTGAGAAATAAAAAAAAAAAATTTTTAAAAACCTTGTTTTTCTTGGTCAGGCCGGAAACTTATCAATCCACCCTCGTATTATAGCTGTTCTTTTCTTCGGTTCACACTATCGAGTGTCTATTGTGGTCGCATTTTATTTATCTAGATAGTGAAACATTCCGGAACTAGACTTAAATTCAAACATTTATTTTAAAAATGTACAGTATGTTTGCTAAAGTTGTCTACAAACGGAGCTTTTTATTTAGAATTAATTTTAAGGAGACAGTTAAGTTCCATAAAATGTTTATCGTTTCTCAAAACTGGAATTGTAAGACATGGATATTGTGCACCGTAATTCCCTTAGGGCCCGGACTACCCCTGTCTTAAAAGCACGATTTTTTTAATTTTTTTCAGGGATAAAACTGCAACATAACTTCCCATATAAGAAATCGTATCTATTGATTATGAATAATGTATTTTTTAAACACCCTCTACGTGGAAATAGCAAAACCAGGAGGAATATTGTGTTTTCATCCCTAAATTTCAAAGAAAAAATATCATACTGTAGGGGTATAGAAAAATGGTACATATTACACATCAAAGGGCGGCAAACTCCCGGAGGGGGTGTCATACTTTCTTCCCAAGACTCAATTATGATTTTTTACTATTATAATCTTGTCCCGAATGGACTACTTTTCCTGATTTCAAGGACGAGAAAGTGCAACTTCCCAGGTACGAATTAAGAAATTATTTAATCATCTCCGCCGTGGAACCCGAGCCAAGGACGAGGGTTGAAATCACGGATATTAAAAACTTTCGTAGTAAAACGAAAATACGAATTCGTACATTGCGGGACTAAGTTGCACTTTCATCCCTGAAATCAAGGAAAATGCATCGTACCTTCGATAGGGATATGGTAAAAATATTTTATACTTTTAAATTTTCATATTAAATTAAAAGTGTCTACATATAAGGATTTCTCCATTTTTTGAAAATTTCTTTATTTTTGATAAGGTTGTAGTATAATAAAAAAAACTTTTCTGATAGATGGGGGGTTGAAACCCCTTAAACCTCCTCGTTGTTGTTACATCACTGTTTGGTTACAAAGTATTTTAAAATGAATAGTAAAATATTTGTGCTTTCTAGACCCTTTGAATTGACAGACAACTTTTTAATTTTTTTAAAAATGTAAATACATAATTCTTTATTCTAATTGATCCGATCCAGGATTTGTTTCAAGTACATAAAAGGACAAATCGTGTTTCTTTTTTATTATTTTCTTGTTTAATGGTTACATTTGTAAATATTACTGAATTAAAAGGTATTAGTGCTAGTATTAAATTAGGTTATGAATTTATTTTGCGATTAAATTTGACATTTTCAGACGGGTGACATAATCGGCAGTTAGTATAAATGAAATATTAATAATTACTTTTTTTAATATAACATAACATAACATAACCTATTTATAAAAAAGTTGTTGCTCATTGCGCATATGTGTATCAGTAATAAATAGATGGTCATTGGTACAAGCGACTTGAACTCTTCGCACATGCGTTAATTCAGAGGTCACTACAAGGAGCCCTGGTAAAAACTTGGTTAACCGGCAAGTTATTGTTCGCGTTTTTATCTATTATATTTGTGTTGTGTAGGTATCGTCGGCGAGATTTTCAGTCAACATTTACAAAAAGTTAAACAATTAATTATTATAGTCCTTAATTGTGAGTAGATGTTGCTTTAATAAAAAACAATGCGCGTGTGGCCGCGGATATTGCAGTGCAGTATAACAAACTTATTTATGACAGTAAAAGTGAAAGTGATGGCTTTGCTGATAATGGACGTCAAGTAAACGATTCAAAGGGACCGGTAAGATTCAAATCATTCTATTATTTACGTTTATGTGTGTAAAAATATCTGTTTTTATTGTACTTTCTAAACTAATTCATCTCTGATAAAACGAATTTTGTACTTAAATTTTAGTTAAGTAAGAAGTTAGATAATGCAGTTATTAGAAATTATAGTATCTATCTACATATATTATATGTAATATAGTACTCTTAAAAAATAATGGAAGAGCTTTTTCAGTAAAATGTTTGCACGCGTCGAGTTTAAACATAAATTCTAAAATTTCTCACTTACATTTCAAAGTTCTTACCATATTACTCCCACCTTTCGACCAAAATTACAAATAGTCGCACTTGTTTTGCAGAAATTAATAATATAAGCACGGAAATATATTATTGTAAGAAAATAAAAAACAATTGTTTTTTCAAATAATGATTTTACACAGATTTTGTACATTTAGATGTAAATAAATATTAAATTTTACCGCATTAAATAAAAATATGTAAATAAGGTAAATGTCTAGATTCTAGATGATGGTCCCCACCCCCGAAGGGGGGAACATACAATAATATATAGTAAAAAGAAGATGTGGTATAAATTTTATAAAAATCGATTGAGTAGTTACTGAGATATAACCTCTACTAGTTCAAAAACGTGTATCAGATGAAATGAACAAGACTAACACTTATACGCAAGACCAGGACTAAGACCGATTAAGCAAGACCACGTGTCTTTAGTATATCTCAAATAAAAGGTTAATTAATTCATGAAAGTTATGTTGTTTATCTGTAAAAATGTAAAATATTCTTTTTTGGATTTATTCAGGTATACCTTTGTTTTATTTATTATCTGTTGACCTAATAAATAAAAAATAAAATAGGCACAGAAACAAATAGAAATATACATTATGTTTCATAATCCGTAGAGAGTAGGATGTTAAGAATGTTTTCTTTTATNATATTGTTTAAGAATGACTATATAAATATTTACATGCCTAGAAATGTATAAAAATTGGCATATTTATTAACTTTGAACCCCTATAACTTTTTATGGGGGTGAGACCGCCACGAACTTTTTATGGTACAGTAGTGGGGGAGATCTCCTCTTTCGGTCCCCCCCATCCCCACCCCTAAGGGGGTGGGCGCCATTATCTAGACCTTTACCGTAAATAAATTTTCTTGGTGCGGTTTTGTATTTTCTTCTGATTTCGGATGAACTTCTTGAAACAATTGGAACGAAATAAAATGGTCCCTGTTTTCACAAGGCTAGTTTCCTGTATTAAAAATTAATTATAATCGATGGAAAACGCGAAATTATAGCGGGATACTTCATTTAGGTGATTTCTTAAATGCAGCCGTTATAAAAACATAAAAGTAATAGCATTATTTGGAAAAGTTATTGATTTAAGTGAAGACATTTATTTTTCGGGTTTTATTTTGTTTTTCTTTTTAATAGGTGATTGTGGGTGGTTCCGTTGTGGATTGCTGTGCAACGCTGAAGAGTTCGGAGTTAGTGGTGAGTGGTAATTTTAAGTACATACATAATAAAACATCGTTTGATTTATAATTTATTAATAACCATAATCGCATAATTTAGTATTTTTGCTCTAAGTATTGTACGGCCAGTAATTCAAAAAAATATATTATAGATTATTTGACACCTATTTAACGTATAAAAGCTAAAGTTTTTGACTAATAATAACGATACCAATAATAATGAAAATTACGATCCAATGTTTATTTTTGACCATCTACTATGATAGCTACTTTTTAACTATCTTGTATTTTATTTGAAAGGGATTATTCGTAGCGACTTTATTCGTAAAACATTAATATTGAAGGAATATCAACAGGATGTAAGGTTTACAAAAAAATGTGAACAAAAAACACATTAATTTGCTTTTCTTTTTGCTTTTTGCGTACTTACAACAGAGAGATATGCTTATTACAGAGTCAAGCAGTTTATTTCAAATAAAACTCTATATTAATGAAATATTAACAAACGCATACATGTAAGTCTCTATCTCTCTCAAAAAACAAAGAAAAGTTATACTGGATATTATTGCAAACTTTAAATAAGGTTAGGTTTCCCCTCAAATTAATGGTTTTTCCAGGATGATGGTCAAATACGATAAACTAATGTTTCATGTAACCTTTCGGTTTATTTAACTATCAACAGACTGAAATTAACAAACATATAAGACTACTAATAGTTCTTCTTGAAGTAGGTATTTTAAAAATATTTTGAATGCTGATTTGTAGGCTTTCACGGCTGGAGTCTATAGGATGAGGATTTTCCGGGCTAACAAGCCGTGGTCTAGTGGAATTTTTATTCCTTCCAGACGTTTCCTTCGAAACGGCGTCGAACATTTTCAATGGAGATGGTGGTGGTTGCTTCGTAGTATTCTTCTCGGTAGTCGCTAATATTACGAAGCAACCACCACCGTCTTCATTGAAAATGTTCGGCGCAGTTTCTAATTCCAATAAATTCCACTAGACCACGGCTCTTTCACCCGGAAAATCTTCTTCCTATTAGTTTATCATTTTTTACAGCCATGCTGGAAAAAAACATTAATTTGAAATTCAACGGTCAGTATGATGAAGATTAGTTTTTCTTCAGTTTTCTTGTTTTTATTGGCTAAAATTTTTTGTGCTATGTTAAAAGCTGATAAACAATTTCCATGTTTGATGTTATAAAACTGCATTAATTTTTATAATAATTCCCGTTAATACGGGAAGTTTACAAAGTAGAATACGTTTTACGTTATTAGCTGCACTAATTTCATTACAACGGGGCTCGTATAAATTCACTTGTTAATAACCTAAATTAATCACATACATATATGTCAAAAACTAAACAGAGCATATTTAAATGTCAAACCGTTGTAGATTTAGGTAGAAAGTTAGGTTTGTTCATTTGAAATGTTAATAGCTACTAGAGAATACAATGTATTAGATAATTAAACAACATTTTGAATTATTATGCACATTCGTACGAATATTCCCTTGCTACGTTTAATGTTAAGAACGGCAAAGTTTAACAGTTGACTGTATTATAAAGCCCAAATATTCAAACAAATAAAACTAATTTTAATACACTTGAAGTTTATCGTATAGGTAACACAGTGTAAGGCCTTGCTACCATTATTTGCGGTAAGGAATAATTCAATCAAGGATAATAATGGTAACTCGTTTAAAATATCTAGTCTTATTGCGGTTTGTTGCGNTTTTTTTACATCGTTATTGTAATTAACTGATGGCCTTACGTCATCAACGAGGAGGCACCATCGAAATAAGCTCGTGAATTGATAAGCACCGTACAGTACTTAACACTTTATTATACAACAAACGAATAAATCACAGCAACCACTGAATATTTGTTTCTTTGTTCGCCCATTAGTCACAACCACCTACGATACTAATTAACTTGAAAGCGCATACTTGATAAAGATAGTTGAATTTTTGCGAGAAACAATAGACGAGGCGGCCAATTCATTATTTTCTTCGTTGTTTTCCTTTTTGTATTCAAGTTTGATTAGTTTCGCAGACTTTTCCACCTAATAAATTAGTATTATTACACGTATAATTAGGGATCATTCATAAAATACGTTACGCATTTTTCAACTCAAAAAATCTTTCGCTCATTGTCGTATGTAGTCAAGTCTTTCTCTTACTAATTAAAATAATGACATGATCATTCCCTTCAATAAAAAAGAATGATGATGCATTGTTATATCTTGATAAACATTAACGTAGAATAATTTGTCGAAATTTATTCTGGTCAGTTATTTAAAAATTTATCTTTTAATCTTGTATGTTAGGAATACTTTATTTTCAAATCCAAAACAAGTACACACATTGCTAAGCTAATCTGTAATATCTTCCCTCTTTAAATTCGGGTGCAGTTTATGGACGATCCTCAAGAAGTTTGAAGCGTAAACGTTATTAAGTAATAATCGGTAGTTCCGAGAGTTTGTACGAAAGGTGTCGCGCGTAGAGCGCCGTGTGCTTTGCGCCGCCATCTTTTTCCGTGCGTTTTGCGCCCCCAGCTTTTTCCGTGCGTTTTGCGCCGCCAGCTTTTTCCGTGCGTTTTGCGCCGCGATTATAACTATTTACACTATAAGTTTATGTGTTCTGTGTTTGTGTATTTTAAATATAAATTTTTACTTTCCTTCACACTTTCAAAAAATCATTCATCTACGTCTTGGTATGTACAAACAAATTAAATGTAATTAATAAATTTAGTTGCATTTGTGTCATATTATAGTTCTAGATGCCCATTATTCTAATTTTAATATTATCAACAAATTTACGTATTTATTAAAAAATGGAATTATTTACAACAAAGTTCGGCAATGATGCGCCATATTTTGACGGTTTGTCGTATAGAATAAATATGGAACTTTAACATGGGTACGAAATATGTTAGCATACTCACAAAATAGAAATTAGAATAGTGGGCATCTAGAACTACATTTATTAATTAAATTTCATTCTTTTCTACGTACCATGACGAAGATAAATGATTTTTATACTTTTAAACACGCCTGTTTTATCGAACAAAATTGCCAGTCCTAAGTCTGGATTAATATGTAAAGAAATGTAAACATTTATATTTAAAATATACAAACACAGAACGCATAAACTTATAGTGTATAAAGTTTTAAATAATTATTACTCTATATAGGTTTATGTATCAATTACACAGTCACGGCGCAAAGAACACGCTACGCGTTTCTCGCGGCGGAAAGAACACGACGTTTTACGCATGGACTTATACGGAATCTTTATTAAGCCATTTAAAAGTCATTAATATTTACCATTACCTCATTTTAATTGTATTAATGCATAATCGCCTGTTATATAAATCGATAAATTACACTAAATAAAGGTAGGTACACACTTGCAGCGGAACTCGATTTATAGTCGTAGCGTTACGTAACGTGACGTAAGAATTTAACTTTTTGCTATTGTTTCAAAAAATTTTCTCTATAATAATCGCTGAAATATAGCAAAAATAAAAAAGTTTTAATACAAGTATGTATCAATATTTACTTATATATAATTTTCCAAATTTTACCAAAAATTGTGGATTCTTAAGGGAAGCGGCTGGTGTCTAGTTATAGACATAACAATCGCACTTGCTTGTCATTAATTCTGTGCGTTAACTAGTTTAATTTGGTTATTTTACTTATTTTTACTTGTGGTGCGAACTGTTAGGTATTGATTTAACGGATATCGATTTAAATAATAAATGCTATAACAAATTATTTCGTGCGCATCATGCATACTTAAGTTATAAGATGACGGCATGCGCAGACTTGAACGAATTTTGAACTTTTACGTATCATATCATCTTTGTTATTCTTTATAACATGGAAACCATGGTTATGCAAACAAACGGCGCTACAAGTGAGTTCTATCCTTAAACCATATTATAATTATAAATATTAAAAAAAATCAACAACTTTTTGTTTAGTTCACTTCAACTTTGTCAGACAAAAAACGTTATACATTGTATTTTATTTCTTCATTCTTTTAGATTTAAGAACTAAAGAATGACGGTACAATAAACAAGTTAGGTACTTAACATTATTATAAAATGTTTGTTTTGCAACAAGTAACATTTACCACAGCTTTCTATTATCCTTTTACAAAAGGTGTTAGTTGATAGTGTTATTTTTTTGATTACGATTAAATAGGTTTTAAACATCCTCGTTTAATTTATTCAAGTCATTCGTGTATCAGTTTTTTATTCGCGCACCAAAACTTTACAACTAACCATCTACAAAACTGTCTTCATCCGTTTTTATTAAGTACATAGATATACTATTATTAATTTAATTGTTGCTTCTGTTCAATTATCGAGATCGTGTCTTTGCGAAATGTTCGTTTGCAGCCTTCCAGGGAATGTATGTATCAAGGAAAATAAAAAGAAAAAACACAACCGTTGCAGCATTCAGATTTTTCGCTTAATTAAATCCATAAAACACGCACTTACGTATGTAATATTTTTTTACATCGTTATTGTAATTAACTGATGGCCTTACGTCATCAACGAGGAGGCACCATCGAAATAAGCTCGTGAATTGATAAGCACCGTACAGTACTTAACACTTTATTATACAACAAACGAATAAATCACAGCAACCACTGAATATTTGTTTCTTTGTTCGCCCATTAGTCACAACCACCTACGATACTAATTAACTTGAAAGCGCATACTTGATAAAGATAGTTGAATTTTTGCGAGAAACAATAGACGAGGCGGCCAATTCATTATTTTCTTCGTTGTTTTCCTTTTTGTATTCAAGTTTGATTAGTTTCGCAGACTTTTCCACCTAATAAATTAGTATTATTATTATTATTATTTAGTAATAAAGGGTATCTAAATTTGTTAATTTAAATTTCGACACAGTCCTTTCTTTGTTATTATCGTTGCTTCTTCTTGTGGCTATTTCTTGGAGCTGCTGCTAGCCTCAATATCACATGCACAAGTGACTCTAAATTATGTGATTTTTGTCTCTTATGATACGTACTTACTGTACATGTTTTAAGATACCAAATTGCCGTCACTTTTTTAAGTCCGAATTATCTACTTTAAAGAAAAGCACCGATGCAAGTAAATCTGTCTGTTAATTTCTTTCTTCTATCGTTGTCCCCGCTCTTCATATTTATTTCTACACTTTTAATTTTTGATTTGGCTTTTTGATATAGTGTAATACAATAATCGCCTTTCTGATTATTTTAAATCGTTATAATCATGGGATTGCACGGTATTTTGGAGCATATTTTGTATTTATTCTCCTGCAATTGTCCCTAAAATAACGTTGATTTTCTAAGTGATTTTTAGATCTGTACTCTCGTATTTGCTTCTAAGTAAGTTTTGACTGCAGTAGAATTTATATTTTTGCTATTCGCTACTCATTATCTTTTTTAATGAAGATTTAGAAAAATAGGACATCTCATTTTTAATCAACTCAGAATTTTATCTTTTAATCTCTTCTGTGTCTCATTTCCATTTATGTGATAAATAATATTTCCGAAAGAGCGCATTTTCACTTAAGTAACTGATATCTTGACGATTTTCTCCAAGTGTTGGTAATTTTTGTTTCTACGATTTCCTGAACACTTTGGAAATTAATTGTTGTTAATAGTAATAGTAACGTGGACCATGAGTTTGCTCGCTTAATCTATCCGATTGAGATCTATTGTCAATTGTCGGTAATTGGTCGTGAGTGGGTAAGTGCTACTACATTTTGTGATTATGTTGGCCATATTTTGTTATATACTGCAGTATTCATCGCGAATTTTCGCGCTGACGCATCGGTCGTAGCGGTTTCTTAAATATCTCCTCCAGTGGTGTTGCTAGAGGGCCTTTTTTGACGCGATGCCATCGTCCGCGACTGAGCAGGCCCTCCAGGCGATACTTTAGTCAAATGTTTTCGTCTGTTGTTGCGTTACTTCGTCGCGTCGGGTACTCTCTTAATTCGTAGTTGTTGTTTCCGTTCGGCGGATTCTTGCTGGGTGCTGGAGGTGACGATAACAACGTCGATACTTCCGTCTTGGTCTGTAGAAGAGATTCTCGTTCGCTATCGCTCGCGCACAGATGAGCCGGTAATGTTCCGTTCAGGTTGTTCGGTAGCTCGAGTTCGGCGCGAAGCAGGCGGATTTTCTGTATCATCTCGCGGATCTCGTAGCGCAAGATACCGAGGAAGCACAGCTTGAGGAAGGCCATCACGCAGTAGCCGAGGATCGCAAGCACCGAAGCCGTGTCGTGAAGATAGTCTAACAGCCGTTCATCACATCCTAAAAATAATAAATAACACAATTATAATCGTAGAATATCTATGAATGTTAATTTTTGATGTGTAATAATTTTAGCGCTGTATGAAGGACTACGGAGTAATTTCGGTAAATGTCTTTGGGGGTGGGGGTGGGTGGGGTCGAAAGAGGACCATTGTACCATAAAAAGTTCGTGGCGGTCTCACCCCCATAAAGATATTTAAATAATGTTTTATATAACTTTGTCAATATTTTTATGTATTTTTCATTAGTTTTACCTTTGAATATTGTTTAAGAATGACTATATACATATTTACATATTACATGCCTAGAAATGTATAAAAATTGGCATATTTGGTAAGTTTGAACCCCCATAACTTTTTATGGGGGTGAGACCGCCTTGAACTTTTTATGGTACAGTGGCGGGGGAGACCTCCTCTTTCGATTCCCCCAACCCCATCTCCTTCGGGACCTTTACCGTAATTCCGTGAATGTGACGGAAACGTAAAAAGACGGAGAGAAAGGGAGAAAAACCAAAGACACAGCTGTTAACCGTTCGTTCTGGTAACTCTGATCTTGAACACCACAACGCATTGCTAGGCAGGTTACGTTACGAGTTTATTATTTTGCTCGTTATTGTAAGACTCCTGTGCAACCAACTTAGAGATAAAATGAGTCGTCGATATCAAAAGTTGGGCTGAGGCACAAGTTAATCTTTTAACTGAACATTTTAATAGTCCGATAGTTTCAGAATATTGCATTGTGATAGTAGATAGCCGTAATAATGATTGCAAGAAAAACCTCTTTTTTCCGTTTTCATTACTAATATCGTTTAATGATGTCGGATAAATTGTACAAAACTCTAGTCTTTAAAACCTTAACTCGATTGCCTTTACGACAGCCACTTCACGCATCTTTTTCCCTTTTTCTGCAATCTACGTTAGAATGTTATATAATCTGAATAGATTGTTTAATAGAGTTTCCGGCAGTCTTTAAAATATTTTATTTATTCGATAGTTGCTTCAAGGTATTGTTTCGCTAACTTTTATCGTGCTAGTTGTCTCGTAACTTATTAGAGGCACTTGTGTATGTTGTAAAGTTTAGCTATCTATTGTTAGAGTGTGAAGTTCGAACAGAACGTCCTGACAGAACAACGTATCCTTGTGGAGCAACAAGCTCGGTATTAATTACTTCCTGCAGCGAGTGAATGATTTCTTTGGAAACAACCAATGACGCTTTACCGAGCTTCGCCAATTTCTCATTGTCTAGTTAGGAGGTGGTGCATCTAGCTGTTCATGATTAAATAACCTAATTACTTACTATTACGTTGCTACAAACTGTACATTTCATAAGACATAATTGATTCATTCAATAAAACAATTGTTAAATGTTTAAGGTGAAATTTGTTTCCAAAAGTAAGTATTTTGGAATAACTATACCTACATTTGGTAGAAATGCTGTAATATTATGCTTTCTTTCCCACATTTTATCTAGAAGAAAATTCTGTTCCCGAAAGATAGAAAAATTAGTTTTATGTAGTCGTCGAATATTGCTGTAAGAAAATAAATAAAAGTAAAACAGAAATACTGGTATGCAAGGAAAGAAAAAGTAGGGAAAGAGCGAATATAAAGATAGGAGACGAAAAAATAGAAGAAGTGGCTGATTTTAGGTATCTAGGAATTCAGATAAGTCACGACGGAAGGAGTAGTAGGAATATAAAGCAGAGGATAGCGTAGGGTCGAGTCGCCTTCAATAAAAGTCACTTCAGTGCTCGCGAATGGTTAATTTAGAAATTCGAAAAAGGTTAAAGGTGTATGTTTGGAGCGCGACACTGTACTGGTGTGAAACATGGACGGTAGACGCTGCGGAAAAGAAAAGTTTAGAAAGCGTTCGAAATGTGGTGTTACAGGTGAATGATGAAGATACCGTGGATAGAGAAGATTAGAAATGAAGAGGTGTTAGAAAGAATAGGAGAACAGAGGACTGTATGAAAATCAACATGAAATAGACGAGATAGGCTGGTAGGACACCTTCTTAGGCATAAAGGTCTAATCAGAGATATATTACAGGTAGAAACGGGAGTTAGGAGGGGTAGAGGTAGACCTAGATTAGAATACTGTTCACAAATAGTTAATTATGTGGGTTATTCTAGTTTTAGGGAAATGCGAAGATTAGGTCAGGATAGGAAGGAGTGAAGGTGCGTGTCCAACCCGTTTTAGGACTTACGACCTTATGACGATGATGAGTCGTCTATTCAGGACATCAACGCGAGCGAAGCTGAGGGCAAAGCCTAGCATAAAATTTTGTACATACATTGTCAGGCGAATAGAAAAGAAAAATACGACTCTGTATTCGTTAAACTTTTTTAAAAAGATGAAGTTTAATCCGCTGGAAGAATCAGTTTTAAAATTGAATCAAATCCTGCCGCTTCCAGATAATGCGGACCTATCTCCGTAACGTTTAATGGTTTCAACTTTTTCTCTGTACGTATGTATACATACATATATGTCGGAAATAGCGAAACGGAGAAGCTTGAAACTTGAAACCGTTAGCTAAAATATTGTTTTTCACAGAACTGAGCACTGCTTACATTTTTAACTTATCTAAATATGTATATGTATTTATATATTTAAGCGTGTGCTGTATGTAATTGCTGTAATCAACCATTAATCGAAATTTTTACTTAGAACACGTTAGAAAAAAAAAAGAAAAATTATGCTGTCCATTTGGGCAAAACAAATACTCACAAAGTGGAATATTATTTTTTTTTTAATTAATCTTTACCTACAAATGTAATATACGTCATAGATATATATATACAAGGCACCTGAACAAATATATTCAGAAGGAAACAAAAAAGTACCGATACACTTCCGTCTATCCTAAGTAATTTTTGATGGTTTCCGAAAATTTGATCTTTTTTTTCGTTTTTATCTACTTACATCCGTGTTTTGTGATTATTGGTTGTTAGTGCAAGTAATCGCGACAGATGCTTGAATCCTTTTTCAGATTGTTTATCTTGACGTGAGGTACATTTCTAAGTAGATTGGGAATGATAAAAATCCTGAATCTGTCAAAAAAACGCTGAACATATAAAGATCGTTTGTACTTTCCTGAAACTCTCTGACATTATTTCTTGGGACACCCTTTATACCAAAATGAGGAAAGGCATACGGAAGGAAGGGTAGGCTCGCTGACATCTGACAAAATTGAAAACGTTTTTGGGGAAATTTTTGTCTGCGTCAACATGATTTGCGTTGAAGTAGACAAAAGGATACGAACAAGATTTTCTCTGAAGTATTCAGTAGACGTGTGACAATTTAAAAGGGTTTTATGCATAAACAAAGTCGGGAACAGAAGTTAGTTATAGAGTATGTATATTGCGCAGGAATAAACAGATGTGAATCATCATACTATCTTATTTCTTTTGTTTCTTGAATTTGATGAATTAAAATGATTGCATAATTGAACACTTGGTTGAGGCTCATATTCTTAAAGCAAATTATTGCTTTGTATGGATAAATGAGAGTTCTCTTCTCGCACTGTCGATAGAGTTGCTTAATTTCAAAAATAGGAGTCTTCTTAGTAGTAGAGTCATGCAAATAAAGACCCAACTTTTTGAAGTTTAGTCTACTACTAAGTTGAGTCGGCACTCAAGGAGCGAGTATATTCTCAAAATATGTTGAATGCTTAGTGTAGTTTCATATTTTTAATGCAGCCATATCTTTTGAAATGTGAGTCCAATTTCAAACACGTGAGTGTCTACTCTTGTTTCTTGACAATCCATTCACTCCTTGAATCATCGATTTAGATTATTGTATTGTATGTATAAATAGGAGTATGCGTCTGCAGCCCTTTAGATGAATGCCTGCTTTCAAAAATTTCTTAGTAGCAGACTCGATCATATAATGACCCAATTTTTGAAAAGTGTAGTCTGCTACTGAGTTGAGTTCGCACTCAAGGAGCGAGTAGATTCCCAAAAAAGTTCGAGTGCTTGGTATAGTTTTAATGTACTAATTTTATTTGAAATCCATAAAAATGTGACTGGATTCTCGAATGTGTGAGTGTCTTCTCTCGTTCCTTGACGATCCACTCACTCCTTGAATCATCGATTCAGATTATTGTATTGTATGTATAAATGCCTGCTTTCAAAAATAGGAGTTTTCTTAGTAGCAGACTCGATCATATAATGACCCAATTTTTGAAAAGTGTAGTCTGCTACTGAGTTGAGTTCGCACTCAAGGAGCGAGTAGATTCCCAAAAAAATTCGAGTGCTTAGTATAGTTTTAATGTACTAATTTTATTTGAAATCCATAAAAATGTGACTGGATTCTCGAATGTGTGAGTGTCTTCTCTCGTTCCTTGACGATCCACTCACTCCTTGAGTCATCGATTCAGATTATTGTATTGTATGTATAAATGGGAGTATACATCTGCATTTTTTATATGAATGCCTACTTTTAAAAATAGGAGTCTTCTTAGTAGCAGACTCGCTGATATAAAGACCCCATTTTTATGAAGTGTAGTGTGGTACTAAGTTGAGTCCGCACTCAAGGAGCGAGTAGATTCCCAAAAAAGTTGAGTTCTTAGTATAGTTTAATGCAGTAATTTCATTTGAAATGCATAAAAATGTGAGTCCAATCTCAAACATGTGAGTGTCTACCCTCGTTTCTTGACAATCCACTCACTCCTTGAGTCATCGATTCAGATTATTGTATTATATAACTAAATGATACTATCTGATTGTAATACTTTTGATGAAAATATCTACATTCATAATTAGCAGTTTTCTTAGAAGATTTGCCCATAGACAACACCCACTAAGTTGACGTGGGACTCAAGGAGCGAGTAGACCTTCACGAAAAGAAATCCGTTCGCATGGAGTTTACCACTTTTAAATATGAGACTATACTATAACCACGCAACATTATGCATATTGTTAACCACATAACAATTATTTTTATTACCTGCTGAATGTGCTCTTATACATTTCGATGCGTTGACGGCGTGTTCTGCGCAGCAACTAGCCGGTAGAGTGTCCCACGGTCCCCTGCTTCTTGTGTTGTTAATGAAATCTACCCCCGTGGTTGTTACGAAACCGGCGGTAGTCGATATCGTCGATGATGTTGACGGTACCCCACAACATTGCGTATCGCCTTGAAGACGATCCCAGAGGCGCGCAAAACTCGTATCGACTTCGTAATCGCGCCATAGTCGTGCTCTTAGCGCGGGCCGAAGATCCAAGCAAATCCGTTCGAATCGAAAGGCCCAGAAAGCTCCCAACACCACGTCTCCGAAAAGAAGGACGAGAAGCAGGAGCCAGTAGGCGTTGAGGAGACGTTCGGAAAGACGCAGGGCTCCCATGCAACCTAAGACTTGTAGGGCGCCTCCTTGAGTGGCCAGCGCGAGGCATGCGTACAAAAAGGAAGGCTGAAAAGAAAAACGAGTTATAATTCTCTTTTTACAATCAGTTTTGGATTAACAAACAGACAAATAAAAAAAATATTTGAGGTTTTTAATATGATTAATAGCGTATTAGAAAGGTATCGGAATAGTATCATAACTGCCCAGAAGTGCTTTTTTAATAGATAGACATATAATTTCTTCCTGGCTGTTCTCTGGTGATTTTGATCATGCTCTTCAAGTCGTGATATATTTTTCACATGGGGTTGCATATTTTTGATCTCAGAACTGAAAGGGCGGAAAAACTACACCGGTTATAATTTGACTAACCCCATTTTGACTTTTGAAGATCACTAATCTGAGGCTAAACTCACTATTTGTGTAGATAATTTAACTGAAAGAACATTCATAACATATAGATGCTGCAAAATTGCAGAACCGTCAGAGAAGTGGTGGCATATTTTTACAACATAATTACTTACTACAAATTATTAATAAATTAAATATATGTAGAACACCTGATTTATTTTATCATGAGCTATCGCTGCGACTACACGAGATAAAAATGTTCAGTCTCTCAGAGTCTCTGAAAGCGGGACTCGAGTCTCCTCCACTCTTCGAGTCTCTCTGGTGTCGCTGAGACAGACTGTCGAGAGACTGTCAAAGGAACGGTTTAGCATCTCTGAACGAGACTCGAGTCGCTCATAGAGAGATCCTCATTTCGTATCCAGTCTCTGAACGAGAGACTCGAATCTCTCAATAAGTGGTGTCTCAATAGACATGGTTAAAATTTTCAAAAGTTCAACATATTTCAGAGATCCCAGTCTTTCTACGAGAGACTCGAGTCTCTCAATTTTTCAGTTTTATTCATTCTTTCTGTGAGAGACTCGAATCTCTGAATTAACAATTTTATCGTTCGAGCCTCTCATACAGAGACTGTGAGAGATCCATAAAAACACCTAAACATTAACTGAGAGACTGTGAAAGACTGTGAGAGACGCTCTCAGAGACGCTGAAAGACTGCAAGACTCTGAGAGACTGGAGAGAGACTGAACATTTTTGTCTAGGGTAGGTCTTGAAGTAAGTAAGTTCCTTTGGTGTTCCTCGAAGTTTCAAGCTTTTATCTGAGAATTGAACAGTGGCTGACAAGCTTTCTATAAAGCACAAAGGGTTTGTAGTAAATGTACCTTCATTTGTATATGCTTGTAAAATGGGCTCCGATAATCTAGTAATCCCGTAGGTTTGATTAGCTGGTAATCGGATAACGCTTCGTCGAAATAATAGCGTTAACTTGAATTATGACGTCCCTACTCTCTATTAAATAGTCGCGCAGAGCTCTATCCGAAAACAACTTATTTACTTTGTTACCGAATTCCATGATGCAGTGTAATATAATAAGCGACACAGGGGCTTTTGCCCCTTGTTTGAACACTCTGCATCGTGTAGCAGAACATTAGGTAATTAAGAACGGAAAAACGTTGGCGACGAAATTAGGATCGAATGTTTATTAAATGCGTAGGTAACACTAATAAATCCCTCTTCGTTTGGAAGACTTTGTTTCGTTCGTTCAATATAAACGTAGCCAATCCCAAAAGTAGCAGTAGTGTCGGTTGTGGGTTAAGGAAATGAGTTTTCTGAAATTGATTTCAGTTTCAGGTATTGTTTCTAAATTTATACCAAATTTTTTCGATATTATCCTTAAACCTACCGATTATAAAATCTATACACTCCTACACACTTAGGAGATAACAAATTTTTTTATATTGTGGAAAATTAATTTTTGTGTTTTTATGCTTAATTCAAATAAAGAACAGAATGTAATTCGTTTATTTAGATTAATCGATTATCTTTCCACTAATCTCTAATGTTTCGATTAAACGATTATTTTTGATGTTAAGACTATCGTAGGTCTATTTATGAAGAAACATATTGAATATTTAAATAAAACACAAAAATGTTTCAACAATAATACATATAATAAAAAAAAAGCAACTCGACAATTGTTTCGACCTATTCGATCATTTTCAAGAATATAGAAATGTAACTTTGTAATTATTTTTGGATTATTCAGTTATTTCCTGATAATCGATTATTTTTTCAATCAATGGATTGCTCTGATTAATAATCAATTATTTTCTTACAATCGATAATAATCGATTGTGAAAGTTAAATTTTATTAATCGCCTAGCCCCAGCTGGTTGTATAAGGCCTGATTGCCACCATAGAGTCGCTCTCGATCCAGTATAATATTTTTACAAGAGAAACAATATGAACCTATTTACACTGATGTTATCTCATCGATTTTGGTCCCATCACGCACCAGTACCGATACATTTCAAGAGTATAGAAATTTTATTGAAGCGGGATCGGATTTGACTGCTTCACTCCGTAATCATCTGTCAGTTGTATTTCGAAATCTAACGAGTACGAGTGAATTTGTTATTTGAATGTGAAATTACCTAAAAAAATGACATATTATTAATATATAATTAATATAGCCCTTTTTCTTTTTTCTTCGTTTTTGAACTTTTCGTAATTTTCGTCCAAAGTAGTAGCTACTACAGCTAATTCTTCTGTGGAAAATTTGAATATGAATACGATGAGATTAGGCTGGATCCACACTATAAGGTTGATCACGGTTCATTTGCGGTCAGATCTCGGTCTGGTAAAATATTATTAAATCATATTATCCTAACCGTCAAGTTCCGATCAAATCCCATTCCAGTCGCGATAAGTTTGAAGAAATTTTGTTTTTGAGAGATCGAACTTGTTACGACATGTTCTCGTTGAAGCGTGAATCGTTGAAATATCATTAATGTACATTTGAATGATTTTATTAAATTCCTATTGAGTAAACTTGGATGCACCCACATTCTTTTCCTTGTTTCATGTTTTCTTCTTGAAAGATAATATTATCTTCTTCATCAAGAATAAAAGATACCAGCTAATTCTTCAATCGAAAAGTTCAATGACATTTTTCAGTCGCGAATATTATAAGATATTAAATACTTTACGGTTTATTTTATTATTAATTATGAGCCAAATACATTTGACTTCGATTATTGACGGTTCAAGACTGAATCGTGAACTGAGTCAGATTGTCTAATGTGAAGATGATTAGATTTTGCCGGACCGAGATCGGGCCGCGAACGAACCGCGATCGACCTTATAGTGCGGGTCCAGCCTTATATTGGATCGAGAGGGAACCGAGAGCGGTTTCGTAGTGTGGATCGATCCTAATCGATACTATTTTAAAATAAAAGATAGTTTTAGGAATTTTATTTCCGATAAAAAAAACTTGTTTCAATAGGCATGTTAGCTTTGGTAATCAAATTTGTCTGATAGTAATAAATCATCTTCAATTATGTTGATTTTCTTACAAGCTCGGACATCTGCGTTAGAGGATGTTTAGAGAGTAATCTAATTAATTTCGTGTTTACTAAAAAAAAATGCGCTACCGTTTGCGAGATGCTTTTACTTAATTATCCCGTTGCACATTTTAAAGGTTACGGTAATTAGTGTAGGGACTAGTCGTAATTCTTGGAAACTGACGTTATCGGAAACACGGAACATGACGAGATTGCAGTGAATTACGGCAAAGCGTACTTTACTATCCTTCCGTCTCGTCTACGTCAATAAAGTTTCTCTATTCAACGTTAAAATACGAAATACAGCGTCGCGTCGCTTAAGATGAGAATCCACCAGTTGTACAATTTTTATTTTTTAGTTATTTCTGTCAATTTGTAGTTTGATGTTAATGCATTCTGGTGCATTTTATTTTACCTTTATATAGTGAAATTCGTTTATTATGACTCCGCCTAGATTGACCAACCGCTTAATATGAAGTAATTGCAGGGTTAAGTTTGGTTTTCATATTAAATTCTCTATAGGAAAGTTTGGATATAATCACTCCGTTTAAAATGACATATCGTTTATTATGACTGATTCTCAAGAAATCATATCCGGCTATAGTGACGTAAATGATTAAAAATAACATTTTCGCACATTTTTCTGACNTCGTTCTTTGTCTTTTTCTGTTAATAAATATATACAATTTGTAGCTTTTCTCTCTATTAATCTAAATAACTAACCAAAATAGAAAGTCGTTTATTTTTGGATATAATGACTCCGTTGAAAATGACATATAGTTTATTATCACCGATTCTAAAGAAATCATATCCGGCTGTAATGACCCAAATGATTAATAATACATTTTTGCTCATTGTTCTGTCCCTTCTTATGTATATTGATATTACAATTCATCGTTCTTTTTCCTTTTCTGTTAATAAATATATACAATTTGTAGTTTTTCTCTCTATTTAACTAAATAATTAACCAAAATAGAAAGTTGTTTATTTTCTAAGCTTATGCTTTGTATGACGCCCGCTTAGTATGATGTGTTTGTTATTTCCCTTCGATGTCATTATAAGCGGATTTTATTTTATTCTATACTTAGTTTTCATGCTTTTGTTATTTGAGACAATAATGAGAGTGTAAGGCAGAAATTCTTTCTGGGACCTACCTACAAATCTTTTTCTCTGTGGCGATATTTATTTTATAACTGATAATACCTATAGTTGGACCAGACTGTGAAATTTCAAGTTTCTGAGTTGCGTGGTTCGACTGACAGATGAATAGGCAGACAAAAAAGAAATTTCTCTTAAATATCAGATGATTACAGAATACGATTCGTAAACGTAGAGAAAAAAATTCTTAGGACCTTGATAGTACATATATAATGTACCTATTTCTGTCGCCATTGTGATTCCTGCATAATTCATTTGACATTTAATATGTGTCCACGTCCTTGTTATAACTTGATTCCGAAAGTAAATATTGCTTCGTCATTTTAGAAATAGCGGTCCTTCTTCTCTGTGCTATTATGTAAAATGCCCAATCCATTTGGATTCACATACACAAGTGTACGATGCTTATTCTGACGTTGACGTAAGTGTAACGTATTACAAGGATGCTTTACGTCACACAGTTTTGGGTCCGAGTCGAGTCTCGAACGAGGCACGAATACA